TGCTATGAGGAAAATTTGACTCTGTTAGCACTTGTATGACCTACTCTTATTGAGGGGTTGGGAGGCTGAATGGTTAACGCGTGTGCATTTGATCATAAGGTCTTGTCCATTTCCAACTGTCAGGGGATGTTTAATGGTTATTCATAGCATCTGAATGATTAGATGCTTTGCCAGGCTCTGTACAACTGGCAACTGGCAGGCAACCAGGCTGGAAAGTCCTCAGAAACTTTCTCAACCAGCACAATTATCACAGTGGCTCCTTCACTGCTTGTGGTACAGTTTTATCCCTTTCAATTTTTAATGATTACATCTAAATTAAAACAGTAATCGATAAAGCTAACTTAAAAGATGCACTCTGTTAAATGTCAAATTATGTCTTCGAAATTGAAGGGATTCTTAAAACAGACTACCAATTTGTACATGACAATCAACATGGACACATTTATCTGTTTTTGTTAACATAACCATTAGAGTTACACCCACTTCAAAAACGTTATTTTTCTTATCCCTTTAAATTTTGAATGATTTACAATCAAATTAAATTTGTAATCAATTAATTTTAACTTGACTGCATGATGCACTAGGGCTAAAGATCAAATAATATACCATTCAAATTGTTGTCCATCCATTTTCACCTGCTTCAAGTACTATTAGAAATTACTATTAATTCAATCCACGGAGTGTTCTTGATAATCAGGTCTATTTTTATAACCACTCCACCAATAATCAATATATTTTTCAACTTGATGATCTGGATCAGTGGATTACACAGGTTAGTAGTTTATGTATTCTCAGTAGCGTAGCGATCAAGTTTTTATCTAGTGGGACATGACATGCTTACATTCTTATCCCTTTAAATTTTGAATGATTTACAATCAAATTAAATTTGTAATCAATTAATTTTAACTTGACTGCATGATGCACTAGGGCTAAAGATCAAATAATATACCATTCAAATTGTTGTCCATCCATTTTCACCTGCTTCAAGTACTATTAGAAATTACTATTAATTCAATCCACGGAGTGTTCTTGATAATCAGGTCTATTTTTATAACCACTCCACCAATAATCAATATATTTTTCAACTTGATGATCTGGATCAGTGGATTACACAGGTTAGTAGTTTATGTATTCTCAGTAGCGTAGCGATCAAGTTTTTATCTAGTGGGACATGACATGCTTACATTTTTTACTTCCTTGTATATATTCATTTATATTCAACAGCAACATTGCAAAAGAAAAGACGTTCTTAATGTCATAGATGCACAGAACAGGGTATTTCCCGATCCTCAGGATTTTCCAGCATGGTTTCCCCATATCAGTGGTGCAGGAAAGGCCTTGCAAGGAAAAGAAGACATCTAGTCATTCGGATGGGACAAAAACTGAGGTCCAGCCGAGTTCTCATTGGCATGCGCACAAAACAACACTTGACAGTTGGAATTTGATGAAGAGTACTGGTAGGCAGAAAAACTACCCTCTGGGTCAAATTTCTCTCGTAGCCCAATGCATGGTGTACGCCCATCTTCTCTAGGCTAGTAATAAGTTTAAACTTTTCCCATCCTTACGAACAGACCATCATTCTTACGAGAACTATCAAATGTTGGATAAATTTCCCGATATTAACTCTCTAATTTTTAATCATTTAAAATCTCGTTAAAATAAATGAAGATATAACGAGATATTACTTCATTTTTAATTTATGATCATATCCTTTTAAACCTTTCACCTATCAAAGAGTTAGTTGCAACACTAAAAAAAAAAAAAAAAAAAAAATCACGGCTGCTGAAGAAATTAAACGATTAATTTAATATAGTTACATGGATCAACTTTCAGCCAACTACTTGAAGAGCTGTCACTTAATCATATAAATGAAAAACATGTTACAAGTCAGGATAGTATATTAGATCATACATTTATGATTATATACATTTTATCTTGTCAGGTTACATCAAACGAACAACATATTCAGTTAAAATTGAGCTTTCGACAAGCCAGTCTTCTTCCAAAATCTTTGCCAATATACTAGAAAGTTATTTCGATAGGTATATCTATTATTAAAAAAAATACATGCCACTCATAAGTGTTGGATAAAATCTTGTTTTAATCCAACTCAATTCAAGCAGGGAGATAATCCACCGTTGATATTTTTGTTTTGTTATAATTTGATCAGGTGTTTTTTTCCCCACTAAGAAGGATTCAAACTCTCATTATAGCTCTTGTTATAGCTCTGATGTACTTACTAAAATATACAGCCCTAAAATAAATATTCTATCTTTTATCTTTTTCAATTGCCACTGAATATTACATAAGATGAAGCCGTAGACCGGAGAAAAACTTCTAAAAACTAAGCGGTGAGATGGGTAGAAGGGTTCTATGTGGTAACTGTCTTCTTGAGGATCTGAAGACGCTTGACGGATCAGTAAGAAATCTAAGGATAAGTAAGTAAAGAATCCCCTAACCTAAGAAGAACAGAGGCTAGTTTCGGTCTTTAACTGACCATGTATCTGATGAAGGTTGATTAAAGACCGAAAGGTTATCATTAGATCTCACCTAAATCTACACTAGCCTCTGTTCTTCTTGGGTTAGGGGATCCTTTACTTTCTATTTTATAAGAATTCTGTAACCTATATTTGGTGCCGTGCATACAAATATTAAAGCCACTGATCATCGTTTGAGGAATTTTTAATCCATTGTAAACTTCAATATTTTCAAAGTTGAATATCTAAAAGGAATATCATTTGAAAAAATACTCAGCATTTACAAACACATGAAAATCCGACCGAATTCTTGTTGCGAGATTATCTTTTACTCGTTTAAATAATCCGTTTGAGTATATTTTAATGTAAAAATTAGATATTATTCAAAATATGCAAGAGAGGATCAGTGACTGTAAGAAGTTTAGGTATCAGGTTTTGTGTATAATGTTAAAATATCTCTCTTTACGAGTATTGATGTAATCGAATATATAGCAATATGCTAGTGGCTTTAATAGTGTAAGCCCATCATAAATGCATTATGTAATGCATATCTCTAAATGATTATTGCAAGTTGTTCGGCTGCCTAAAGAGTTTTGAGAAACATGAACTCTAAAGCCGTGTTGACATAGGTTTACTGCAACTTAAAAGCGAACATAATCTGTGTTCACATTACCAAATCAAATTCAGTAAATTTAATTGTGAACTTGTGAGTTTACGGCAAATCTATTTAAGATGATATTGCTATGGTGGTTACGTGAGTTATCCAAGTGATACCTTGACAACTCCGATGGTCTAAGGATACCAACATGAGAATTTTGTTTCAATCCTTTTTGTGTTCATTCGCATTACGTTATTTCCTGAATATTAAGGAAATAATTCTACAATTTACCATATGCATATCAACCTGAAAATTTCTACAGGCTACTTATCGAACTTAGGGATTACTTCCACAAACAGAACTATTTTTGCAATGTGAACAGAACCTTAATACATGTATAAAGGAAACTGGGTTATAGCTGCCGTAAAATGAGCCAAGTCTATCTTTAAAAACATCTCTAGTCATCATGCATGCTGCATGCATCTTTTATCTAGGTTAAACTGCTTCAATAATACACTGAGTATGAGATAACAACAATATGCAGCCAGACAGAAGCAGCTGGTTTCAATTTGTGTTGTGTCTGTTTCCAAATGCGTATTGCCTGCTGCAAGCTATAAATTACTGTTTGTGCTGAAGTTTGTATGTATTGGGGTCAGACAGGGTGAAATAGATCAAGAATTATCAAACTTGAATGTAGATGAGCCATGACCAAGTCAAGTTACATCTGTGAGTCTGGGTATCGCCCACCATGATCAATCTGCTGTCTTTAATTACCCGTATTTATAACGCCCCCCTATTTAAAACATATCAATACTTTTTAATCATGATATGAATTTTAAATTGAGTTGAACTTGATGAAGAAATTATGAAAATGTTTAGTTAAAACTGTTAATGGATATAACAACCATATAACAAATCTTCTGTTCCGAACTTTGATTTTTCATTCCAAACTTGAACATCATAAGTTTCATTTCATTTATATAAACTTTCATTTTATTTCCAAATTTGATGTTTGATTTTCTTTTCATTCAGAGAGCATTCATTTTCTTTTAGAGAATATTAATTTTAATTTCATTCACAGAACATTAATTTTCATTCCATTCAAACTCTAATGTGCTTATTCAGAACTTTTTTTTCATTTCATCTAAACTCTAATAATCTTTCCATATAGGTACAGGCCTGCATTCGTAAAATATTTAGCTTAAAATTTTATGAATAGATTTTTTAATTAAGTGGGATTAATACTGGGGGCAGGAACTTTTAGACAAAGATTTACTTCTTATTGAACTGATAACCAGGTCCCGAGTTCACAAAGCATTCTCAGACTTAAGTTCAAGAATTTACACAACTTTCAATCACTGTTTATGAGAAATATCTTTGATTCAGAAACACAAAACTTTGCACATAGTTTCTTATTGATGTATTTAAAACAACAAAAGTTTTAAAAAGGGCTATATCTTAGTTAAAATAAGATGAACAATTTTGAGTAAATTCTTTAAGTCTGAGATTGTTTTGTGAACTCTTGGCCAGATTCACCCGATATGGGTGATTTTTTTCAGAAAAGTTGACTTTCTTGTCAAAAATCCTCGTAAGTTACTGTAGAGTTACTGTAGTTCTAAAAGATCTGCCTATGGCAATGGTCTTCTATCCCAAGATTCAGGATACATATAATTCATTCTGAAAGATTTCACCTAATACCTTTTCAAGTATAATTGTAGCGAGTCTTCGATCCTAACCCCCAAATATCCTACAATTTTTGCAAGGTTGTCTTGTGTTTCAACAGAAGAACTATTAGACTTTTCAGAAAGTTTCAAACTTTCTTATTAAGCCTTTTCTACAAAAGTGTGTTGTTTATTTCTTTTCAAGAACTTTTTTAAAAATGTTACCGGAATTGCAAGACGTGCTTTAAATTATTCCAGATCTTTTATTCAAATTCTCCACCAAACCATGAGATAACAACAAAAATTTATAAAAGCTTCTAACATCCACCAATGCCACCAATTGTATTGTCCAGAATCGTTGCATTCTCACTGCTTGAAATCAGAAGACATGCCAATAGGTAATGATGCCACTTAACTTTAAGTCCAGTGTAATATGAATAAGATTCATACAATTTTACATCCGTTACTTTAAAGTAATCGAACTAAAAGATCCCTTCATTTTTATCACATGAATAGAGAGAGAGAGAAAGAGAGAGAGAAATGGGGTTTAACGTCCACTTGACACAAACTAGGTCATTTCGGAACTAACACATGGTTCAATTTTATTTCAATAATTCCCTACTCCTTGTCACGTACAACCGAGGAATCAAAACCATGTCAGTTGACTCAATGACAGACCTTATGATACAGCGCGCACGTGCTAACCATTCGCCCCCCCCCCCACATGAATAGATTATTAAAGATTTAACATAGATTTATTATCGTAGCAACTGTACTTGACAACAGACACTTAGCCTCGATTGTCAATTAAATTTTAAATCTTGCGGATGTTCAAATCCATTTAAACCTTGGCTATCTGATAGTCTTGAGAGTTGATTATGGGCTTGCCATATGAAAAAATGTCTTGAAGCCAAAATAAAGACGTGCAATAGGCAGATTTAGCTCGTACATAATGCATATTTAACTGCTAAATCTATAATGCTTTAAATAAAGAACTGAGGTGACATTAATCAGGTATCATTGACAACACTTTATATATTATTAACTTTTAATCTTCCCACGTCGAATCATTTCAATCTAATTTTAATATGGTTTTTATGGGGGGTTGTGGTTTCCATCTTAATCGTCTTGTGGGTCATGATGAACCTTTTAAAATTTTCTTATTTCAAACACTGAAGAAATTACTTTAAGTGTTATATTGTAACTTTTAAAATTGGTTTAGGCGACCTTTTTGAAATTATATAAATGCCCTCTGGATGTCATTTACACAATAATGTAATGAGTTCAATGTCTTTAAATGAGAACAACAGATATAAATACAACAAGTCTTACAAATCGGCAATGTATGTCACGGAGATATTAGGTTTTATAAAACGCGCAGAATGTCATAGATAATAGCCCAGTGTATTGATCGGAAACTGATTGCAGATCTTCTAAAGCACTTGGCTTTCATCCGAATAATCTGGCAATGCCTTCAGCGTACTGCAAGTACTAATGACTAAGATTACGTGAAGAACTCTTATAAGATTTGTTCTTGTTCAACGTCACCATAAAGAAGCTATTCTATCCTAATGTCTGCGATCAGGAAATCAAATGACAGAATTCAGCTTTTGTTGACGAGTTAGATGATGACATAAAATGTCACCAAACCTCTGACCATGAAATTTGGCAGCTGCGCATAGGTGCAGTGAAAATGATACCTATTTAATTTCGCCTTATTCCCTGTTGTCAAGTATGTTACTGATTACCGCGTATTGATTTTCTTGTCTTAAATGTGACAGGATTTTTCTACATTAGGACCAAATTGAAGTGCATTTGTAACTTCTAACAACAGCATATACTGAGATTCCACTATAATGCTGACGTCCAGATCCATTGATTAAAACTGCGTTTTTGCGAGTCCCAATTTATTAACAAGTATAATATTGCCTCGTTGTTTAGATGGGACAAAAACGAGGTCCTATGTACGTGTTTCTATGCACATAAAAGATACACCACTCTCCATGCCAATTTCTCCTCCCTAGAACTACACAACTGACCTGGAATTATGTGTCTAGTCTTTTGGATGGAATGAAAAACCTAAGGTCATGATGGGACAAAATCTATATGATCAAATATTCATTTTTGAAAAATTAAGCTGAAGTCAGTTTCTTTAGTAACCCGGTAATCTTAGTTTTGTTTTATGCTTTAACTGTCGACAGAAAATTTGTTAATAGTTCAACATTGGCTCTAGCCATGGTCCTAAAATTTGAATGAAGATAGATCAAATCAAATCAACACAAACTTTAATAAAATCTATTTCATTTTTTTACCCAAATCCAAGAGGTCTAATCATTAATCTATTCAGAGCAATATCGTTTGCAGTACTAATTTTAGGAGCTACAGTGGGCAATTTATTGTCGAAAATATTTGTTTCTCATTTTCAGATAATGCATTATTTTGCTGAAGATGTTATTAGATCGGAAGATAAAGTAGACAAAGGTAGGCTGCCAGCAAATCAGTAGCTCATAAAAGTTGTCACATTTTTCGTTAGTAGGTAATATGAGCACTTACAAGACACTTAATACTGATCAAGGGCAACAACTCATGAAGTTATTATCAATAATAAATCATTATAAATGAAATGAAATGTGGTTTTATGGCACGTCAGCTCCAACCGGGCTATATTGCGCCAGACATATGGTGAAAAGTATGAGACAAACTAAATAGTATCACAAGGAATTTATGATAAGACTCTATATCCTCCCAACAGAAAAAAAACATGTACCGGTAATCAATTGATCACTGTTCGAGTTAAAAATAAACGTTATAAACTGGAGCCACTACAAGCCAGCATGGCTGATGGACGGACAGACATTAGTAACAACAATATGGGTGTGTAAAAATGTTAACAATTAAATTGTAATATACTGTTCCATACGCATCACATGGGTGTGAATTTTACTGTAAAGGAGTTTCAGATTTCAAGGATTGTATTTAAAATGATTAAGAAAAGGTAAATTATTTTTTTCGTTTTGAATGTATCTGATTTGACAAGCAATTCCCCTAAATAGAAGTTGACATACTATAGCTTGTCTTATATTTCAGGTTGTTTGGTCTTTATTCAAGTGCTGATATCAACAGTGTAAACATTTACAACTTTTTTTGCAACTGAAAAGGCGATAAGTGTGCATTTCTCTGTGTCAATTCTTGAATCGCGATAAGTATATTTTTCTATGAGTCAAGTGAATTAAATAAATGTACTCACTATCTGCTGAAAGATGGTTTCCATTCTTCCACTTGAAATAATCTGAAAAATAAAAAGCTGTACATATTAATATAAAACAGCTCAACTTAAAGATGATCTGATGATGATGATGATGATGGCGATGATGATATAACACCATCATTCCACCAATGAGCGTTGCTTAACGACACTTTGACATCATGTGCACACATAATCTAATGCTAAAATCGACAATATCGCAGATATAAATTGAACACTGACTAAAACAATCACCACACGGTAAAACACTGACAGTTTTTAAAGCAATCAAAAACACTGACAGTCTTTAAAACAATTGAAAACACTGACAGTTTTTAAAACAATCGAAAACACGGACAGTTTTTTAAGACAACAGAACTCACTGACAGTTTTTTTAAGACAATCGAAAACACTTAAAGATCAGAGATTATTAATTTTTGTTCTTTAAGACGAATTCTGTTTACAATTAATCTTGTGATGCCCATCCTTTATGCAAATAGTATAAACATTGGAAGTCCTTGAAGGCTCTTCTCAGCCAACAGTGATATTCCATCCACAACATTTTCTGGGTGGCTCCAGTTTCCTACCAAAGCTCTGGTTACATACAAGGTCATGGCTAAATATACATGAATTTATTTTTTTATTTGATTCAGAGCACATTGCCTCTTTAAGGTCTTTGTGTATATATATATTTCAATTTGACAGGTTCGGGAAGTTTCTGCCATTTTGGCTTTCATTCTTGTAAATAAAGCATAAAGAAGAGGATGTCACAAACAAAAAAAAATATATAAATTACTCTTTATGGAAGAAGGTTGAAATTTGCTTGTGATTCACCTCAAGGCTGGGTAATCTAGCATATAAATTTCGACAATAAATCGATCCAGTCACTTTCTCTGATATGATTTTATAAACATTGGGGTCGTTTTCTACACAAATTAGTGCACATGCCACGTTGCAAGATAATGAGAAAACACATTTAAGTGGTGCATCACGAGTGCATGATCAACACAAAAGATTATTTCAAGTCAGATAAGTTTGGCAACTCGTGGAGCATAAGATTTATACCAACAGCGCTTAGATAAGTTGGAACATTTCACAAATATAAGATATATACCCATGAGTTGCTTACAACCGCTTAGATAAGTTGGAACATTTCACGAATAAAAGATATATACCCACTAGTTGGTCACAACAGCTTAGATTTCACAAATATAAGATATATACCCAAGAGTTGCATGTAATCATGTTAAAGGAACAGTCCCAGGTATAATTTAAGGAATCAAATGGGTTAAATCAGTGTGGAAGACTGTTAGAAATCTTTAACCTATTGCATAATACGATCTGAATCTCAGTGGCATTGCTTTGAACAGATACAAAATATCAAGAATTTACATTTATTGTTCATGTTTTCAATTCTGTGACATAACATGTTAAAAGAAATGGAGTTTTATGCTCTACTGTTATGCACTGTGTTAATGAAGATGGGATGAAATAACAGAAGTAGAAGCAAACCCTCTAACTGAATCCTTAGATCAAGATTCAAGATCCCACTTTTTACCAACAACATAAATCAAGTGAATAGGTATGGTATTCAAAGTTAACTATGGTTACTAATCCCAATGTGAACACAACTTTATTCATCAAGCCAGGAGGAACCTGGATAACAGAGGGCTTTTTATAACCACCCCACCCAACCAACTTTTACAGTTTGGGGTCATCTAGTTTGTGCGTTCTTCAATAATTTGTATACACTAAAAGAGTTGTTATTTTGATGAAGGACTCAGAATGTTTGTGGGGCAACTGGTCTCTTGGACTACACAATGCAAACATTGATAAAGATATGATCATAATTGTGGCTGGTTAAGCATGTCACAATAATTAACCAGGTGAGCCAAGTGTAATGTAGTATGTCAAACAATCAGCAATCTCCGCGATGCTAATCTTTTGCACATTAACATTATTATCTAAATTTATCTAGTTTTTAAAAGTTTGGATCTTATGATACACTATCCAATTATCGAACCTCATGGGGTTTTTTTAAATGTTTTTTTGGGTAAAAATACAAAGATGACTTTTTAATTTTACGATGTTATCTACCTGTAGTTTTCATTCCTGTGTGTGTATAAGTTTTGCTTCAGCTCTACGCAACCTGAGCATGGGTCATGGAACTATACAAAGCATGTCGTTGAGAGGACGGAAATAGCCATAATTAGCTGGATATGATATTGATGGTATCAAGACTTAAAAGCTATTATTATTATTATTGGATAGCATTCGACAGTGACTGCCTTGATGTGATATCATCTTTGTCTTTTCATGTGTCAAATAAATTTTGTAGGGCTCTGTGTGCAAAATGTCTACTCCCCATGCCACATAGTTCACTATTTGCATCTTTGTGTCTTTTCAAATAGGTTTTAACTTACAGCAATCTTGTAATGATTACATGCTTAAAGTGCCAAGATAAATTTGTACTAAGCCATTTGAACTTTGAATACCAACAATTACACTCAAATTTACTCAAATGTGTAATACTGATGTTAGAATTAAAGACACCGGTATATGCATGCAATATTTTAGAATTAGGATATTCTACCAGTATCAGGGCAACAACCCTTTTCAACATTAACAACCCTTTTCAACATTTCTGTTAACAAACAAAAATCTGTTTTAAAAGGGTTGAAAGATCAAAAAGTTGTTTAAAAGGAACGACAAATCGAAAAGTTGTTTTAGAATGGTTCACAATCAAAAAGTTGTTTTAGAATGGTTCACAGTCAAAAAGTTGTTTTAGAATGGTTCACAGTTAAAAAGTTGTTTTAGAATGGTTCACAGTTAAAAGATTGCTATGTAGAAAGACTAAAAAGTCAAAAAGCTACTTTTCAAATTCAAGAAAGATAGGTTGCCAGTCAAAGAAACATTCACACACAGCAGTAAAGTCATGTGTGCAGTATCAAATCGTTGAAAATCAACAGATCTTGTGAGCTAAACAATGTGTAACGTCAATCAAATGATATCTTTAGTCTCTAGTATGTCCACAAGATTTTTCATTTTGATCAAGGGTGAGAACTCTGACAGTAATTATCAGAACACTAACACTATGTATAAATTGTGGACGACTGACCAATGCACTATTGTAAAACAACATCCTCAACTATCTATTTTTTAAAGATTTTGATCTAGAATTAATGAATGAATGGAAGATATTGAATATCTCATCAAAACACAGCACACTAAGTATGAGAATAGATTTCAAACAGATGCCATCAATCTGTACACTTACCATAGATTAATATTACATGAAATCTTTTCAAGTGACATTAAGTTGAACTACTTGATTCTTTCTTACGGAATGTAAACCTGTTCATTTCTATTCTTGAAGTGCTTATGTTTATTTTTACATCCATGTAATGTATATTAGTGTGAAGATCTTATCAGTAACTGCGTAAAAAAAGTTCAAACTTTCTGGAAGGCTCTGTGATTATTTCTTAACGCTGACCCCAAAAAGCAGAAAGTAAAATTATGAGATTAAGATCCTCAATGGACACCACCGACCACTCATCCCATTTCTTAATAATACACCAGGTGCATATCAACTACAAAAGTAGGGTCTACAGCATTACGTCAAATTAAAACGTTTTTCTTGTTAAACTAATTAAGACTTTTAAAATTCACATTTTAGTTAACACAGATAAATTGAATTGGATGAAACCCGTGAATATTTGCATTTAACGACCAATATCAACAAAAGAATTAAGTTGACTGAATCAACATCCAAACTCTGAACCTTAAATTATTCTGAAAATGTGCACTTTGCGTATATTTACTGAACGCAGACAAGTTTCTATTGTACATCTGTCTGTAAGGTCTACTTCAATTAAACCTAGATCGCTCAACTTAAAATATAGATAAACACTGGATCTTCAATGGTAGAAGTTTGCTGAAAAGACACAATAATGCCAAAAAGTCATCCAGAATGTGTCAACCACGTTTCCTAAATAGTGCCAAGAGGTTTTCCTGCATGACTCCCTTGCAAGAGCGAATCCATGAGAGAAGAATGAAAAAAGAACACACAATGTTTGAACTCATGACACCTACTGTCTCAGTTGTTGTCAGTATAGCCCCCCCCCCACCTCAACCCCGCACGCTTTCATATGATAACATAACTCAGTTGAAATCATATTGTAACATTAATCGATTCAGAAGTTGAACATAACCTAGGTGGAAAGTTGAAATCATATTGTAACATAAATCGGTTTGGAAGCTGATTGGTTATTCATGTATCTTGAAAAACCTTTTCTGTTCAATTGAATTTTTTTTCAAAACTACAGAACTAAAAACAAATTCTAAAGCAATTTGAGTCTAACTCTATGACCATTAGCTTGTCTGAAGTAGGCTGTTGATATCAGATTAGGAATAAGAAATGAAGTTGGTCTGGCAAATATTACGATAGTCCTTGTGATAATTTGAACGAGGTACTAGCACTTTGGAGAACTTATATGCAAGGGGAGATAATTAATTAGAAACCATGAATGGTGAATAGTGATTAATCTACAAAGAGACCATGAATATGTATATAGATGGGTATATAGAGTGGAGTAACAGTGACACAGGGATAATAATGCTAAATAAAATGAAATGGGGTTTAACATCCTACTCTTCAACTCCAACCGAGCTAATGAAGATAGGCATATCGTACGTGAAGTGTCAAAAGGGTGTATCTAAGAATTTCTAAAGATTAAGAAATAGAACCTTTTGTATTTCAAAATTTCCACAAATCAAGATACAACATTTGAACGCATGATACCCAGAACAGTTCTAATTGGTGTAGAAATATACAGCTTAGACAGAAATGTGCATATTAATTAGGGGAGTTTAAAAATACAAAAAAAGTGTATTTGACTAATTTCCAGAAATACACCCTTTTGACACTTCACCGACGATATGCAATGCAGTGTACTGTGTGCGAAGTTTCCCTCGGACAGCAGTGCTACAGTCTACTCTTATTTTGAATCTCCACTGTCAAGGGTTCTTTAATGTGCACGCCAATGTGTACACAGGACCTCAACTTTTGGCCCATCCCAAAGACTAGACACAGTTCCTACTAGGACCTTCATAATGCACCACTGACAAAGGGAAACACGCCCAGTCGACACTGGGATCAAACCCAGGACTTCCTCGTTATCGAGCGAGCC